ATCTAAATATATTTAAAAATATTTATATGAACTAATTTTAAATATAGTTTATATATTCAAATATCATATTTATTTATATATAATTTATCATAAAATTTAATTATATAATAAATATTATTGTATATTTTACATGATAAAATACTAGTTAATCATTATGACATAGCATGTAAAAAAAAAAAATATAAGTTTAAATCGTAATTATATTTAAATGCAAAAATAAAGTTAAGTTGAAAGTCACACATGTAAAATGATGAAATTATTCAATTAGAACATTTCTATATTTAATGGTGCTTGAATTCATTAAATAATGAACATAAATATATATAATTTTTAATACAAAAATTTATATTACTATTAGTTGAAAAATAATATATTAAATAATATTTTTTATGTAATTAAATTTTGTGATTTATAATTTTTTTTATCTATTATATTTAAATTTATATTAGGATTGTAATTAATAATTAATGTATATATTAATTTTTATTATTTTTTAAAAATACAATGACTTATATATTTTTTTCCAAATGTGTAGTGTATATTAATGGTGTATTTGGTTTTAGAAAATATTTTGTTTTTATTTTTTAATTTCATTTTCAGAAAATAATTTTTAATTTTAAAATTTAAAATTTTAAAAACGTGTTTAGTGTAATATTTTTAATAAAAGTTCATAAAATATTTAAAATATAAAATTTATAAACACATGTTGAATAATATTTTTATAATATATATTTAATATTATTTTTATATAATAAATAGATAGATATAAATATAATTAATATTACATCTTAACTTTTACAAATAAATAATTATAAATAAATAATTTGTATAGCAACAAAAGGGTTATTTTTATTTATATTATGAGAGATATCAATATCACTTTATTTTCTTTTCTTACGTTAAAAATTACAATCTTTGACCTTAACAAATTTCAATATATGGTACTTTATCTTTTTTTTTATAAATAAAAATTCATTAAAGTTCCTTTAGCTTATATATTACAAAAAAAATTATTTCCAAAATTTCATTTACCATTAACATCCCCCAAAGATGTAAATATTATACCATCATTCCTCAACAAATTCAAATATATTATACTTTAACAATTTATCTCTCAATTTACATATTTAATTATTATTTAAAAATCATTATGAATTTTTCTAAAATTAACTATGTATCTTAAAAAAAGATTTTTCAGTATCTTTACAAAGTATTTTTTAAAGATATATCAAAATAAAAATAATATGTTTGTATAAGTAAAATAAAATCAAATATAAATTTTAAAATATTATTAATTCAATGTATTTAATATAATAGTTTTATAAACATTTAAATAAAACAGTATTTTTATTATATAGTTAACGGAATCAAGACACTTTATATTTCTACATGTATTTTATCTTAAGTTGTCTATTGGTATAAATAAGTTTACGTTGTTTATATAGTTTTTTTTTTCATTCTTCATTGATTAAATGCATATTAATTATAGTGTAATGTTGTAAAATTATAAATATTTATTTTCATTATATAATATTAATTATATATATTAAAGATAATATATAAGTATTATGATATTATATAATTGATATTAGTAATTTAATATTTTAATAATATCTAAATAAACAAGTATTTTATGATAAAGTGTTATTTTTATATTTAACTAAAGTAATGCTAAAATATGTATATATAATATATAATTTTAAATAAATATATTTATATTAAAAATATATTATTAAATAACAAAATTTTAATGAGTTAAATTATTAGTAAAATAAAAAGATTGCAAAGATAAAGATGAAACAGTTCAGTTAAATTATTATTAAAATAAAGAGATAAAAAGGTAGTTTTAATTCTATCAAAAGAAAGAAAAAGAAAGAAAAAAGTAGTTTTAACTTTTAAGACAGTTATCAATCGATTTGAGAAAAAATAGGAAAAAAGTTGGTAGGAAAAAAGAATCTGATAATTACCGTGATACCACTGCATTTTCAATTAATTGAAAATGAGATTTTTATGTTTTCAAAATTCAGCTGTTTTCTATAGTAATTTATACCTATTAAACATAAATATTAAACATATAAGTTATATTTTTATTTATGAAAAATAATTTTTATTGCAATAAAATATTATTTTTATTTACTAATAAAATATTTCAAAATATTAATATTTAATTCATAAATAATTGTAATAAATAAAAAATAAATTAGATAAGAAATTAAAATTTTCTATAAATTCT